AGGGTAGCAGTGTGAGAGCACTCCACGCAGATGGCAGATGGAATAGCCTTTGGTGGATGTGAGCTGAGAAATGGAGGAATGTAGATGGGCCAGGGAGCCAGAAGAAGAGCAACTGAGAGGAGATAGAACTGACAAAGCCTCATATGACCATGAAGAGAAGCTTATCCTGACTGTAACTACACTGAGAGAAACTTTCATATGGTTCAAACCAAGGAACCATGTGATGTGATTTCTGTTTTAAAACAGAGAATGCTCTGTGGAAAACAGAAGCAAAGTTAAAAGCAGAGGCAATTTGGGAGGTGGAGGGAAGAAATTTGCAAGAGCACAACTACTTTGGCAACCATTAATATGTAGTTGAGAAAACAGCAAATTAAAACAATTATAAATTTACTGAGGCCATTCCAAAAGTGTCTGAGTGAGTTTGGGCAACTGGAGAAACCTGTTTTAAGGGTGCATCTTAATCAGTAACAGATTTGCCCAGGCTCGTGGGCCAGGAGAGCTGTCTACCCCATAATGGTACAGGAGAGCACAGGGCCTACCTCATAAAACCAAGTGGTGTAATACTTAAAGAAGGCAGATTCCTTTTCATTTTTAGTTAAGGTAAAGTTGAAGAATAACCAGAATCTGTGTCAGTCCTAGATATCTCAGGGCTGAGATAACTTCCTGTTGTATGGTTGCCTGGTCCTATCACAAAAACAAAGTGTAACAAAGCAAGGATTAATCTCCAAAATACTGTGCTGTGAAATAATCCTTAACCAAAAGGGCAATGCTGTGCAATTCCATTCATATGAAGTTCTAAAGTAGGCAAACTGCTGTGGAGTGAAAACAAGTCACAGGATTGCCTCTGGTGTGTGGAGCAAAGCCTGGCTGGGAAAGAGGATGAAGGTGTCTGTGATGTTCTCTATCATAACAGGAGATGAGGGTGCACAAGTGAACACATTGTTAAAACTCATGAAATGCTAGACTTCAGATTAATCTATTCACAGTTTGTGGATGATCCCTTGAAAACAAGAACTGTAAACTGACATTGAACTGTGGTCAGTGATGGACTAAG